CGTTAAATGCCGATATTACGCTAACTCTTTCGGATAAACTGTTTAATAATAATAGCCACCTTTCGAGCGTTTTCTTCCTAACTAATTAAAGGAGTTATAAAGAGCGTGTTATATATAACATTCTCTTCGTAAGCTAATTAAATATTATTTCCCTTTAATTATATCTTTAAAACTTAGAGCTCCCTTTATGTTCGAAGCGCCTTTACTTCGCCTAAGCTTACGAATATAAGAATAAACGTTTCGTAAGGATTTCCTTTTAAAGTAATATATAAATTATTAATAAAAGCCACTTCACTATATATTATAACTCTTTAACGAAGGAATAATTTAAGCAAATAATTAAGTGTCTTATTAACTAATTTAATAAGAATAAAGTTAAAGCTTAGAGCGTTAAAAGGATGAATTTATAATAATAAAAAGACGGTATAACTAAGCCGAAGTCTTAAAAGCCTTAGTCGAAGACTAAATTCCTCGAGGTAATATAATAATGTTATAATAAGATTACTACTTACGTTATCGCCGCTTAATATAATCTTGTCCGGCGATAAACTAAGCTCCCGAGTTAAATATAAGTAACTTATTAAGGTGTTTTATAATGTAACCGGGAAGGGACATATATTACTATAAGCGGATAAGTAAAAGCTCTTATTATCTCGATAAGTATAATGTGATTTAGCGTATAACGTGGGCATTTTATCGATAAACGACTCGAATAAAAGACGAGGCTTATTACCTTATAGGAATCTTTAACATTAATATGCCTTTAGTTTATAACGAGGGAACTAAGGCATTCCGTAGGCTTTAAGAGGAAACACTTAAAAGAACGTATAATTAATTTATTCTGTTATATTTAAGCTATAGCCTTAATTCGACTAATTACATTTTCGTAAAGTTATTAACGGAATTTCGAGATTACGTATAGATATTAAAGACACCGTACCGTAATCTTAAAGTTATACGATATACTTATAATAGTTTACGACTTTATATATACTTTATTCCTTTCGTAAATCGTAAGGATTTCTTTATAAACGTGCTTAATTACTACGTTTTATTACTAAACACTTATCTTAGCGTATTAGCGATAGTTTTACGTCGAGATTACGGACGGTATTATTTACGAAGTAAGTATAGCCTTTATATCGTACGTTTAAACCGGGAGGACGTCGCTTTTAGGTTTTCGTTTAAACGGCTAAAAGGCCATATATTTACTTTTAATAATAGTGAGTTAGCTCTAGAATATTCCTTATTATATACTTATGTCTTAAACGTTCTTCGTAGTTTTACTTTATATCTTTTAAGTAAAGGAAGAAATTATTATTTTATATAAGGGCTTAGTCTCGGACTTCGTATAGTTTAAATACCAATAGTCTACGACTATACGATTCTAGAAAATATTTAATAAAATAAACTTAAAATACTTTTTTAAAGCTTCCGTTCCGCTTAGGTCTTCTGCGTTATTAAGCGTAGAGAAGACATTCGATACGTTATAAATCGTAGAAACTATGGCGATTATCCTCGTCGGTACCCGCTAAATGCTTTATAACTTTAAATACCTAATTATGCTCGTGATCGATATCTTTTATAAAGTGTTACGACTTAATATTCTCGAGAATAAATTCGAGTTTAGTGATTTAGATAAAATCACGCTAAAACTAACTAAAGACATATTATAATATAATGTTTCGCACGGTTGTTATTTTTCGTAAACATAATTAGGCAGCTAATTTAATAAATATATAAGTACGGCCTTTATAAGACTTATTAACGGTTATAAGTGCTTCGTTAAATTAAAGAAGACTATTTAGCTTAAGCGGGAGTTACTAAATCTAGAATTAACAATAAAACGAAATATAAGAAAATAGTCGTCTTTATTAAAAAATTTAAGAGATAAATGACAATGTTTAGAAAGATGTAAGCGGATACGTTCTTTATGTTATCTTTAATAAATTAGGATTTTCCGCGTAAGTTTAAGTTAAAATGATTAATTAATTAATTATATTTAATATAAGGGACGTCCTTTATTAGAGCTATACTTCGTAGGGTTTTGGAGTTATTAGTGTTTATATATAGTCTAGCCTACACACGTACCGATTAGCGTTATTATAAGACCCGAGTTAGAATAGTTATTCTCCGTCTGTTTAAACGGCCTTTCATTCTTGAAATCTCATTTCCTCCGATATCCTTAGCAACTTAACGCCGCTTTAGCAATATAATATGTTGCGTCACATTAATAGTCTCGGATGAGATGATGCCAAGTGTGTAAGACTATTAACACAGCTATATGACCCATCGCCTAACGATAGTGTGCTCGAAGAATTTTCACCATTTGTAGTACATCACTCACTAATAAGATGATTTAAAGGCATATAGGATAATAGAACAGTGAGGTATGGGACGGAGCAACTCAGAAGAATAATATACTCTAGACGGAGATGTTAAATGCCCACCTTAACTAGAATATACTTGTATAAATTCGCAAGTTAGGCATAGTCTTGCAATGTTTAACAAAAGAGGGTTACTTCCAATAGGCACTGATTCGTTGCAACTATGGCCATAACGTCTATGGCTTTGTTTCAACACATACGCAAACCGACTACGTCGAGTCGAACAGCCACCGTGGACTATACGTGGTACTTGTCTTTTCGGTCTCTTTCCTGGGATTTTCCACCGGATCCGTCTTTGCCATCCTCTCGTGGATCCAAGATGAAGCATGGCTAAGTTATCTGTTACATACTGTTTCGTTGTGGAGGATGCTTTAGGAAGTGAGTATGTTGCCACCGATCTCGGTTAGAGCCCGCTGACTTGAGAAAAGACCTTGGTTGTGGCTGGGAGCTACAGTGTGGACCAGAGGTCATTTGCGCCTCTACCATGGGGGTTGTATTTGTAACATCGGTTCTATGCTTCGTTGCTGCAGTGGGCCTGGAGATTCTCGTCATTCCTTGGCACCGTGTCCTTTCTCAAGTGTCCACATCTCTCTTCCGTACATGTATCACTTTTTGGTCCTTTAGACGAACGGTGCATTACAGTAAAGCATCCAGTGGTCAAATGAGTACAGTATGCTGGTACTGTACTGTAAGCAACGAACTTAAGTGCGCTCTTCTAGGTTGTGCTGGTAGCCTGATGGGTTCATGGAAGGATGTCCTTGGAGTCTTCCGTAGTGGACATTTTCCATCTTGCGTTCTCTCTTTTCCACCTTTCCGTTGTTGTCTTCATCATCGATGCGCACGCTGAAGTAGTGAGTGTGGGCTGTACCAATACTACAAGGGAGCCAAGTGGGTCGTACGACCTTCGTCGTGGTTGTCCAGGGTCTGATCAGTATAAGGTCGAATGGATGGAACTTGTAAATAGTCGAACGGGCACGCTTCCTCATACTTTTGACTACGGTCGCGTGGTTAGTTTTGCAGCAGTGCATTCGGAAGACGACGAGAATGGCTCGTCGTCACTAATTAATGTTATTTTGGTCATCAAGTTCATTCTTTCCATTCATTTCTTAGTGATCAGTCCGCTAGTGAACCAGCGAGTTCGTCGTGAGGCTTATAACCCAAGGGACAAGTCAGTGGTCCTGGTTCAACACTTATGGGCTTCAAGAAACTTTTAAAAGCTATGTAACGTCTATCCCTGTGTGGCGAGCCAGATTGCAGGTAATTTGACTTTCAATCAAGCTAGACCTTACAAGCATTTATCCACTTGCTCAATTCTACGTAAACTATATTGTTCAGCGACCCTTGAACCTTATAACCTCTCTGATCAGATTATTCTACGCTAGGTCCGTAACACAATCGGCTGGTTAAGGGAGTGTCTTCTCTTAGTGGCATCACAAGATGGTCCTTTTACCAGCTTACCACCGAGATATTGTAGTGGGTTTAAGCCGGACGCAGGTAATACAGGTGCACAGGCACAGTGGGTCTCTCTGTTTTTCGTGTTTTTAGCCTTCTTTTCGGTGCGTGTGCCTTTTTAATTCACACATACCCTTCAGACAATAGCACCAGGGACCTACTGATCATGGGAATACTGGTGATAGCACGTACTCTTCTCTACTTTAGCAATTCAACCACGTTCTCGCCCCAATTGCCAAACATTTTTTTGACCTTCACGTCTGACCAGACTCTTGGCTATCGAATGGGCCAACCCACCACGCCTGTTGGACGTCGTTTCGTTATGCCGACTTACACGCCTGGAACCCTGACACCACGAAACGACACTTACACGATCGCCACCGCACCCGAACGAGACTACAATCCGGCCACACACCCGAGTGCCCAGGACTTACAAGACAGTGCCACCAGTGCCTCGAACCACGTCTGGTCAGATGTGGTTTATAGGTTCTAGAGCCTGTTTTGCAGTGTGTGGGTTGTTGGTGGCTTTCCCAGCCGGCCCAAACAGCCTACCCCGTTTCAATATGATTAGCATTAATAACTTTGAAACAATAATATCTGAGTTCTCGACCCTTATTCTGACGCCGACATCCTATAGTCAGCCCTGTAGCTACTACAAAATATGTTTTACACAACGTCGCCATGTCGATTAGTACATTCGACCGATTTCGGTTAGCGTCAGAGACTTAGATGATGGACCACTTCACACCCCAAGGGGCAAGCCTAAGCGAAGGGTGTTACTGAGGGCTTGTGGCAGTACAGCCTCAAATTACAAACTGACTTTACGGAGACTCGCAAAGCGGCGCCGCATTCAACACAAAAAAGGATAGAACACACAAAGTGAACTGGCATCAACGGCTAAGCTATAATAGGCTAGAAAAACTATACTCTCCAGATAATGCACTGTATGTATAGCACATACGTAGTGACCTTATAATTTATGGAATGGGTACAAAGCTGGTTCACGTCATGAATGGTCGACATCAGCCACAACCTGCACCACAGCCTCCACCACAGCCTAAGCCTCCACCACAGCCTAAGCCTCCACCAAGGCAGACTGGGACAAGCATCTCAAATTGGCTAGGCCTATGACAAGAAAGCTACATAATAAAAACAACAGCCCACCTTGTTACCCACCCTCCTCTTCACCTTCCTCTCGGGTTTCGCGCTATAGCGATTTTAGCGCCTGAAATAACGCAATGAGTTCATCCGCTATAGATACAAGAGAAACTTCTCGGCCAGACCCTAGCCGCTCGATATTTCAAAGACGGAGGGTTCACCCGCAGGACCCCATAGGTTAGTCTGGCTTACCGCAAATAGTGAAATTGAAGTTAAAGTTTGGTAGTCCGAGGTGTAGATACAGAGATAAACATTCAGCGAATCGCGTACGACATTGTCGCCCTAAACGTTTATACTTTGAGAGCCTTACAAGATGGTTGGTTCCAAGCACCTCAGGTTGTTAATAGGAGCAGATACGAGAAGTTTGAAGAAATAATGGGCGCTGAAGCGCAACACCACGTCGACATGGCCAATGAGCAATCTGAACACGAGTTCAATGCCTACATCATGGAATTCGTCCAAAATCTAAGTCATTTAGAGCTGATGAGGCTTATAACGGACCCAAGGCCTAATGATTACTACTCAGATGTCATCTCCGTGTGTCTAAAGAGATTCCATGCAGCCGTCGCGCATGCTACAATAGCTTCCAGGCAAGAAAATATGGACATCCCAGCGAAGTATGACTTCTGCGAGACGTATCAAGAGTATATCGAATATACAGTCGTCCACCGAACAGAAACCCGACAACAACTTGCAATAACGTTAAGACGGACCGGGTCGCTTCTTGACTCAATTCGCATACCTGTCAACGGTAGGAGCCTCCCTGACACATATTTGCTTCAACTCAGAGATAAGTTGGTGGCTTTACAAGGACACTACCCAGATGCATGCTTTGCTTTGTTTGAAACCTATCGAGATCTTTTTGATATGTCTGCTGAGCGCTGGTGGTAAGCTGAAGCATCTTTTTCATGTATCGACTAAAGGCTGATGAAACTATCAGGGAATCTGCCTCTGCGATAGCAACAAAAAAATCAACGAGCAGTACTAAAATGGAGGCTCCAGAAACGCTGGCAACTGTACAAGCAACTCTTCAGTTTGGCGTGCCCACTTCTTGCCTACTATGCTGCATTCCAATCGGCCTCGCGTATTTTTACAGCGTGTCTGAACCTGGTACGATTACAGATTCGGACTTTTGGCAGTTAGTAGCAGGTTCGGGTATGCAGACTCTCTCTCTAGCAACCATGATTTGGCCAGCTATGGTATCCACCAAAGTCCTTGATCTCTCTCGCACCTATATCTGGTTTCTCGCAACCACAAGCGCGATTTCAGTGCCCGCCAGCATTCTATTGTACTTGTTCCTTTCTATCCGCTGGAGTATTATTATTTCTTTTGGCGGGAATATTGCACAGGCTCTAATTCTACTTCAATTCATAAACGCTTAAGGCAGAAGAGCTAAACAGACATGATCCTTTTTGCGAATCTAAAGGCTGTATATGAAGCACGGACAGCGATTTGACTCCAGTAATTTCAGTTGTGACTGATTTGGTTAGGTCATAGTCCGAATACATTTTTTTATGTCAAAAAACTCGTTCATATGAGTGGATCTTATTTTGATGTATCGATTGCGGCAAGCCACTATAGTCGGGGAGCCATATTGGTCAATTGTAAGCCCAGTTGGGTGAGGAAATTGGAGTCTGGGAGATTTAGCGCCCTGTCATCTCTCTGAGCCATACCTGTAGTTAGTGGGTCAAAAGCAGCTGCTTACTGTTAGGGCTGTAAAGACACCGGTACTCCAGCGCGCTAATGTATGCACTGTGGTTATGCCCCACTAAGACTTGTTCTATAATTCTTTTAAAAGCTAAAATGCGGAAGCTAACCCTGAAATTTATTATAGCGTTCGTTAATCCCATATTTGTTCTCTCTTCTCTCATCCCGAAATGTCTCTATTATGCAGTTCCCCTCCCTGAGTCGTCCAGATTCTTGTTGACGTCAGCCCTGCCACAGGCTTCGCCGCACTAGGACGCCAAGCCGCCTCCGCCTACACGCTTAACTCAGAGATTAAAGCCAATTTACGGAGTACTATCGGAAGGCAAAGGAATCTAGATTGGGGAGGAAGACTGTGGGGTAAGCGCTCAACGCTGATTTTCCCACCCATAACAGTAGGGTGCGTATTTTTAGTTATGTCTGGTAGTCCCGGGT